CAAAAATAGTAGCAGCTCCACTGGAAGAGCAGGGCAGGATGAACTGAATACTTGGGCAAACGGAAATCAGTAAGAAAAATACCTTTTCATTTTCACGTCTCTAAAATGGCATTAAAACACATGGAGAATAAATATAAAGCCCCTTACAAATTAGTACCCTGCAAAGCAGATAAAAATGATGATATCCATTTCTCCAAAGCATAAATTGCAGTACAGGTGGCCTTCAACTGAGGTCATACACAGAGTCCTGGCCTTAGTCTACACACAAAGTTGCACTAGTTTAACATTAAACTTTTATTTAAACCCCGCCAACTCATATATGCAGACAAACCCATAGTCCTGTTCTATTGAACATTCCCTCTCTGTGTAACCAGAGGGGATGTGTATTTTCAGTTGGATACCCATGCGACTGGTACATTCTTCTGTGCACAGGTGGTTATCATGTTTTTCTTCTGCATCACAGAAGTGGATACTTTAATTGAACTGTAGTTACACTGAGCATTTCCCGTCCTCCAAAGAGGCAATATACCTTGTAATCTATCCCTGCTTGTGTTTGCAAGACTTGGTGTTTGTTTGGTAAGGGTAATGGGAGAGGGAAATGTTTCCAACTTAGCGCACTCGGAGAAAGGAGTCATAAATCAGCAGGTCAGTCAGGGTTTTTTTTTAACCTTAAGGTATTATGTTTTCAATACAATATTTCAATAGATTTTTGTGTGTGTGTAATAATTTATCTGGAATTACTACAACTCTAACAAGTTTAGAGAAATTTGGCTCAAGTAAATTGAATCCTTTGTCATAAATAGTTTGGGTTCATTGCTGCAGCCTAATCATTCAATTGTACATAAGTCAAATAGCAATCCCAACTTCGTAGGAACATTTCCATGTCAATAAACCTAAGGCAGTTTGTTTAAAAACTCTGGCCCTGTGAGACAGAAGCATGATAGACTAGTTAGGGCAGGGTCAAAAAGCCTGAACCACAGCCTCTGTGCACATTTGACTTTCATGTCACAACTTTATTCCACCAGCCTTAACCTGTTGTAAAACTCACTGACCATTTTGAGTAATCCATGCAGTGGAGTGACCAGGCCACTGTCTCCATTTCCTTATAATGAATAAGCTACTTTTTCCCTCTGGAATTGTTATTTCTCTATGCCACCAACTGTTCATTTATTCCATGGAAAGAAAATATTTAGTTTTATTAGTAGTAGAATTTATATTTTTTTAAAACTTTATACCTGACCCGGCTGTTTCCACTGACTTCACTGGGAGCTGGATTGGGCCATGTTACTAGGGGTTAGAGTGACAGTTCTTTAGACGGACAGAAGCCAAGGAACTATCTCTAGAGGAATGAGATGTCTCCCTGTCTCTTCAAACCTTGATCTCTGTGATGTAGCTGCCTAAAGAAGGGTGCCAGCTCGGATAGTGTTTTGTGTGAAGTAGGCACCCAGGGTAAATTCGTGCCCTCATTGACTTCAATAGGATCACGATTTAATCCATATCCCTAGACAATGGGTTGAGACAGGTCACCAACTCATTTCCTAAGCCAGCAACGAGTATCAGATAAGTAGTGAGTTGACTTTTATTTACTAGTGACTTAGGTCAGGGTTCAAGAGATGAAAGGCTCTATATCTCATTTTCAATCTGTGTTTTCCAGTACCCCGGTGAAGACATATTTCATTTTTACACTCTACACTTAAAAGAAACAGGGTCAAATTATTATTAATTATTATTATTATTTGCAATTTACTCACTGTTTATAAAAACAACTTCCCCTCTTACTCTGGGCTCATAAATAGAAACTTAAAACTAAAATCTGGTTCCTCTCTCTCATCACTTGTCATGGTAGGGTTTCTTTTATTGTTTTTCAGACTTTTGTAAAAGATGCAGCAATTTTAAAAAAATCTCTCCACCAACACAGAGAATTGCATGCACTTAACAAAGAGACGGCATAAAGAAAAAACTATATAGGTCCAAGTTGGGCCTACCAATCTCAAGACTCTCTTTAACAAAGATTAGTGTCATTATAAATTGTCTTATATGAGAAGTCTGGTACTTTGCCTGCCACCGTTTATGAAAGGACTAAAGTGATAGGGCCAGTTATTCAGCTAATGTAAATCAGTGTAGCTCCACTGATTGTAGTGGAGTTATGCTGCTGTAAACCAGCTGAGGATCTGGCCCATAATTTTCTGCAACTGAGACTGAGGGATTACAGAGAGGTCTGGGCAGAGAAATCCTGATGCTGTTGAACAAACAGAACGCTATAGCATCTACTTACCACAGTGATTTGAGATGCTTTATAAATTATTACATATCTAGCTACTCAGAGATTGTGCCACGGTTATAAACCCATGTAAACTTCAGATATTTCTTTACAAACAAGAGACTAAAACCTCAATTTATTACTCAAGCAAAAGTTTGGGCTCAAGCTGATTTGTATTATTAAAAAACAGGAGTATGTGCAAGCTCACATGCACAACACACAAGAAAAATTAAAAAGAAAGAGATACAATAAGTAGTGTAAAGAGATATGTTTTTAATACTACAACAAAAAGGAAACTGAGCTGGGTCCTGATCTAAACCCAATTGAGGGAACTGTTCCCACTGAGGGAACTAAGCATAGTGTCAGGTTGCAATGGTATCACCCCTATGAGTACTGCCTTTGCTCCTCAATTCAAACAGCCTGGGAGTTTGAATGTTTTATGTTTATAAGATCCCAGGCCCTCCCCTCTCCCTCGTGCAAACCCTTATTTAAAACTCCTTTTCACTGCCAAGTGGAGATGTCATTCTTCTGACAGGAAGATTTATAAATATATATTCCATTCCCATTTTAAATTTGCATTAAATTCAGGTTAAAACCAGTCCAAGAGTTTGTCATGGTACAGGAGAGATGATGTCTTGTCAGAACGTGTTAGCTACCACATTCTAACTAACATGTTCTAAGATTCTAGAATAGACAAGGCAATGTAGACTTTAACACATGCCAGTGGATTGAGTTGAAGCGTAAAGTGGTGGAGTCTAGCAAACACAATCTAACAACACACCTGTAGTCCAAGTCCAGAAAACCCTCTGATATCCACAGCCACAATAGCATGCCGTAAGAGAAGGAATTAAAATTCCACCTCTGCCCTTTTATTACCATATCCAATCACAGCTTTTCCCAGCTGTCCACTTTTCTCACCTGACATATTCAAAAAGGAAAGATACCCTCCAATACCAGCAAAAATGCCATCCTACCTCCCTCATAAAATTTATAATACAACAACAGTCCCAAACATTTTGGCTTCATGCCAAATACAGAATATATACAGAATTTAGAGCCATGGGATATTGTGCTGTATTTTATATGGTCAACAACAGCATTCAGAAATAGGAAAGCAACTGGCCTCCTCAGAATGTCTCCTCAAAGAAGGCAGTCAGGCACCCACCACTCTCTGTCCATACGTCCCCAAAAATAAAGGTGAGAAGGAGAAACAAAGAACTGTGGAAATTAAGAAACAAACTTGACCAAAATGTTCAATCCTCCAAAACAGTGCAGGATTGATTTCAGTTTTAGATCAAAGATGACCAATGCCAGTGGTAGAGTTTGCTTTATATAAAGCAGTCTGCCCTTTCCTATTTGCCTCCCAACTTTTCAAAAGGAAGGTAAACTCAGTTTCCTTCTATTGTACTTCACCACCAGATTGCAATACCTAACTATCTCAGTCTAAATTTTCTTCTCCGTTCAACTCCACTATAGTCAACAGATTTACACTAATTTCACTAAGAGCATGATTTAAACTTTAATTCACAAGAAAATCCAGCATAATGTTAAATGATTTTTTTCTGGGTTCAGGTTGATATGCAACATCTTGAAATGATCGTGGGATGGAGCATAGCAATGCATTTATTAGGGGCCAAGGTATCCTCTGACTTACACACCATGCTACCTTATTGATTTTAGTGCCGCTGCCAATGGCTCATCTAAGAACTACACACAGCCCTGTATCTTACACACATTTTTAACAGTGCAAATCAGCTCATGCGACTCAAAACCAGTTGCTATGCAATGCTGAATATTAAAGATGGACCCGAGGCATAAAGACTGGATCTGGATCTAAACTTTCCTCAAAGTTCAAGGCTTTTTGGATCTAGGAGGCTGAATCATCTGATTATAGAAATCAGATCCAGCCACAAATGTCCAGTCCCAAAGTTTCTTCACATGTTGGGGTTTTTGGATCCATCTCTAGTAGCAAGTACAACCAATGATTTTAGGAACTAGATGATGTGCACTGGAACATCAGAGAGCAGGAACAAACTTTTTGCTTTTTAAATACAACATGATATTGACTCTCAGAGCATAAAATGTATACTACCATAGGAAGGAAGATGAAGAAACAAGATTAAATACTAAGCAATATCAGGTGAAAATGAAATATAATTACATCCATAACATTCTGGTGCAAGAGTTAGCAATCTTCTTCGGACGGAGCACGCACACAGCCACTTGTGACCTCACCTCCTCAGCTGCTCTCCAGAATCCTTTCGCTGGCTCCTGCTTCAAATGAGTCCCTTCTAGAATTATTAAATGCTTTAGGCTGTTCTCCTGATACCTAAGGGGAACTTGGCTGCAAAAGACTGGGCAAAACTGTTTCAGCAGAAGACTCAAGATAGAATTGGAGATCTGTAACTCCCCACCCAACAATTGCAAGAGACACTACAGACACTTTTGTGGGGCATGCGCCGCAGGTTGAGAGCCACTGTTCCAAGGTCTGATCCTGCAAACCCTTACTCATGTGAATGGTGCTTCCAATATGTGTCAAGTTAATCACAAGTGTAAGGGTTTGCTGAATCCCACCCTTAGTGCTTAATGGCAAGTAACGACCTTATCCATTTTCTTAAAATACAATACCAACATCTATCTGTACAGATTCTTACAAAGACTCTGGCTGTACTGAAGGGGGTTGGAAGAAAGAAGGGAAAAGTGAAAATTAGGAATTATAGGTAGGGTGATAATCTCTGACCTGGATCTGCTGCTGAAGAAGGTTAATTTTGTGTTGCTGCTGCAGGAGCTGCTGCTGTTGTCTTGCAATCTGTGGAGAAATTGCAAATGTAAAATTTGTACCATCACTCCTGGAATTGTTACATAGGAATTTCCCACCTTTCTTAGTTCTTGACACCACTCTGTTAAGCTAATGCCATTGTGGTGTGTGGGTGGCAGCAGCTTGATGTGCCACAGAGGCAGGAGGCTCACATTTGTGCATCATGATAGTGCCAGTTCATGAAAAAGTGAACCTCGAGGACAACACTGTCAGAACTGACGGGAGAGGGGGGGATAGACTGATACATGAATGCCTTCTCATTAGCCATTTTATAGAATCGTATTGCGACTGGTCTTAAAGAATACCGCTTGTCTGTCCCTTTCTGTTGGTGGAAGAGCACTTGGGAGAAGACATCAAATAAGAGGAAGGGGAAAAAGAACCAAAGAAGAGAATACCCAGTACTTCTAGAGCATCTACTATTCAAGGATTTCCAAGAACTTTACAAATATGAAATGCAGGAGAAAGGCATAATCTACATTTTACTGATAGGGAAACAGAGGCAAAAAGAGATTGGTACTTGATTTTGGGCAATTCACTTAACCACTAAGTGCTTCAATGTCCAGAAAAGCCACGGACAGAAACCAGGGGCCAGATCCTCAGCTGGTGTAAGTCAGCATAGCTCCACTGTGTCTTCAGTGTACGTGTGCCAATTTATACCTGTTGAAGATCTGACCCCAAGTCTCCTGATTCAAAGTCTTGTGTATTTATCACAAGACCATCCTTCCCCCTCAACTGAGTAAGATGATTGTGAGACACATCCCATTTACAATTGATGAGAAGGTACAAAAAGAGTTCTGACTCAAAGATTATGTCTACAATTCAGCCACAGGTGTGATTTGCAGCATATGCAGGTGTTACCCATGCTAGCTCTATTCTACCTAGCTTGCTAAAATTAGAAATGCAGTGCAAGCTTCAGCGCCAGCTGCGCAAACAAGCATGTACCAAAGGAGGTCAGATGGGCTTGTACAGCCCACCCTGAACTTGCACTGCCACATCCCCACTTCTATATTTATCAGGCTAGCTAGATAACAGCTAATGGAGCTATACAAGCTGCAAATCACACCCTTCGCTGCAGTGTAGACAGACCTACAGAGCTGAGGAGGAATAAGCCGCTAAATTTAAAAAGCATCTTTTTGTTTAAATTCTACAAGAGTTTTATTTCAGTCACCAGAACAGCTCCATTCTTGTGAATTGCTAACAGAGCATTGCAAGCATTGTTGGGGGAGTATTCTTCCCCTGATGTAAGTCTCAACATTTATGGGAATAAAATCCACTTATTGAGGGGAGAACTGATGAGCTTCTCCCCCCAAATAAAGTTTTAATTTCCTTTATTAAACTAGTAGCATACAAAACTCCTATCTGTAGCTGATTTGATAGCCTGGGGAAAGAAAAAAGTTCTCTGTGTTTAGGGAGGCTCACTGTTAATGATTAAATAAATACTTTAGTTTATGTTTTTTATAAAAATAAGTTTGTATATAATGCAGGACTACAAGGATTTCTATCCTGTGGGACTGTTTTATTGCTTTTTTTTTTTTGCATTCTCGCTCTATTCTCCTTTTCTCTTTTGGACTATTCAGTGGTATTAAAACAATAGCGACCTCTACAGGTAAGGGTACAGGTCCTGATGGATGTCTTGCCACAAAGATCTTGCCAGTGATGCCTCTCCATCTGTGTCTATGTACCAGTAACAATGTGAAAGGGCTACTCTAGTTTAAGGGATGATTCATTTCTCCTGCTGTCCCTTAAAGAATTTCTTCTTCTGTGAGGGTTTTATGTTTAAGAGATGGAAATTCCACAGAACAGCTCAGCCACAATATGCAGCATTAAGGATGAGATTTTAACTATCCAAGCACCAGTAAAAACAAAGACATAGCTCCCAGAGCAACCACAATTCCTCTTGTGCATAATATAGTGTTTTCTATTGTATGTTGTCAAATGGTATGCTTTATTATATACATGCAATGTGGTGGAGTTACCATAGTGGTGGCAATAATGAATGCATTTCCAGACTTTTGTGAGTTTCAAATAAGTCATACAGGTGTTTTTGTTAATTTACTCTTTTTTTAAAAAAAAAAAAAAAGAAAGAACTGTAATTGATCAGACATTCAAATAAATGCACTGTTTTCCCATGTTTACAGGAAATACATTCAAGAAATAACATATGGAATGTCTAACCCATCAAATAAATTCAAATCTGTTTATTTCAAGATGCAGAATTCTAGAGCTAGACACACACCCAAGACAGTGTATCTGGATAACAGCACTCAGCACACACTTAGGGCACAATTTAAGCCAGGTTTCTGTTTGCCCTCAATTTTTGTCTACACAAAGCTGGGCAGACACATACCTGTGCCTTCACTTTGTGAAAATTTGTACCTAGAAAAAGTATTGGGAAAAGGGATGGTTTTGCATGCAAATTCTAACATATGCATATATGGATAAGTGTGAACACATATTTGTGCCTGCAAAGGGTAGATGCGGGTATTTGTGAGGGCTGAAAATCAGTCTCTTAAATGGGGAAGAAAAGTATTACACTGGTTCACTGGTTTATATTTTATGTATTTCTCATTCAGTTCTTTTCAAACTTCACAAACTGCACTTTCTGGTGGCACTGCACTATCTAAAGGCCACATTTTGCTCTGTTATGCACAACCAACCTCATTGACTTCAAGTGACCATGGGCACAGGCACATTCTGCAGGGCTGAATTTGTGTTTTTATTTGCACTCCTAAAACAAAACAATATTTTGAGTTTCTGTCTCCCAAAATAGTGGGATAATTATTTGAAAAGTAGAAAAACCACCATTTTTTAACAGGTTTCAGAGTAGCAGCCGTGTTAGTCTGTATCCGCAAAAAGAACAGGAGTACTTGTACTCCTGTTCATTTTTTAACACTCCAAAAAATAAAATAATGCTTCGATATATTTTTGCCCAACTTTCCATACCCCAAAACAAAAGAAAAAATTAATTCTGGGCTGAGAACAATCTTGAGAAATTTCAGCCCTCAAAGCTAAACTATTGGAAAGTTAAACATCAATGAATAGGAGCTTAGAATGAGATTCGCTATAATAATCACTCACCTGTTCCTGTTGCTGCTTAGCCAGCTCCATTTGCTGGCGTTGTTTCTCGATTTGTGATGCAGCCAGTTTCTTCTGTTCATCATGAGCTGCCAGCAGCTGCTCACGCAAACTGGTCAGTTGATTGATCATACCCATAAGCTGCCTTTCTTTCTCAGCTAGGCTTTCTGGAGTCCCTGGGCATCACAGAGTGACAAAAGGTAAAGGAAAGAGAGAGAAATGAGAGCTGGGTAATTTTTAAATGGCAGTCTCAGTATAAACAGAATTTCAGTACAGTATATGCAAAATCACAACACATATCGCAATACATTGCTCTGGAACAACTAGGGACATACAGGTCACAGAAAAATGAGACAGGGAAGATGATTATGGCACCATTCAATTCCCTGCTCTACCACTATTTTCGTGTGTAACTGAGGAAGTCACTTATTTATTCTCTCTGTGCCTCAGTTACCCATCTGTAAAACTGGGGTTAATAATACTTCCTTTCCCTGCTCCCCCCGCTTTTCTTTCAGTAGCCTGTTTAGTAGAGCGGATAGAAACATGGAGAAACAGTTTTGTGAAAACTTTCAAAGTTGTTTACATTTCACGGGTTCACAACCAACTGTTTTGAAAATGTTTCTGTCAAAACAGAAAACCCGCTCCCCTGTGAGATAGGTATTATCATCCCCATTGTACAAATGGGCATGCTGAAGAACAGAAATCTTATACACATTAGATTTTTTCCCTTTTTCTCTTTAGTATCCCAGGGCAGGCCAGCTGCCAGCATTCTAGCTGCCATGTAGCCCAGCTCTGCTCTGATCAGGGTTAGATGATACAGTGGTTAAAATGCCAATAGCTGTTACCAGGGTTGCTACCACTGATGAGAATTTTTTAAAGTCTAGTGTAGAGTAGAAATAGCTAAGAGGTTGTGCCACTTGCCATCATTAACCCAACTTGCTCGCTATGTTATTTTACAAACACCAGATTTCTATTATCTACAAGTGCACTAGAAATATGTTCTGCTCATGCTTTCCCAGAAATAGGCACCGATTACCACCATCCAATTTTTTTTCCCCACAGCAGGTTTCCTTTCACCCAGAAAGGAATGAGAGGGGATCTGGGAACGGTGTAGTAAGAGCCCCACAAATCAGAGAGAAATCAAAATGTATTAATCAAAAACTATGTACAACAATGGCACCTTTCCCATGAATTGAAAAGATGATCAATTAAATAATAAAATATACTCACAGGTAATCTACCAGCACCCACCAACTCAACACAACCCTGGCAAAACTCCCCTCCCTTACAGAAATCGGAGCCCATGAAGTTCTTTCCCAAAAAGTTTGAGGAAATGGATAAGCCTTCTGTCTAGATATCTCCCCTTAAAACAGTCTGCTTTTGGGACAGCCCTGCCACACAAACCCCTCTCAAATACAAGAAGTGTTCTGCTGCCAACGTCACCAACGCTCTCCAATTCAACAAAAGAAAAACTGGCGACTACACTAACCATGCTCATAGCCAACTATCAGTCAGACGTGAAAAGAGCTACTGGTAATAGCTCATTTAGTCCACCCCCCTGCCAGTGCAGGAATCTTCCCTGCAATATATTTACCAGCACTTTCTGGATTGGATTTCACAGATTCATAGATTTTTAAGGTCAGAAGGGACCTTGTGATCCTCTAGCCTGACCTCCCATATAGCATAGGCCAAAGAATTTCCCCAGAATAAGTCGCAGAGGAAAAACATCCAATCTTGATTTAAAAAATATTTCAGTGATGGAGAATCCACCATGACCCCCTTGGTAAATTGTTCCAATGGTTAATTACTCTCATTGTTAAAAATTTTGGATTTGTCTAGCTTCAACTTCCAGCCATTAGATCGTGTTATACCTGTCTCTGCTGGATTGAAGAGCCTGTTACTAAACACTTGTTCCCCATGTAGGTACTAACAGACTGTAATCAAGTCACCCCTTAACCTTCTCTTTGTTAAACTAAATAGATTGAGCTCCTTGAATCTGTCACTACAAGGCATGTTTTCTAATCCTTTAATCATTCTTGTGGCTCTTCTCTGAACTCTCTCCAGTTTATCAACATCCTTTTTGAATTGTGGTCACCAGAACTGGACACAGTATTCCCCTCTTAAATGGTGGGTCATCTACTGCTTCCTTTGAAAGATAATTCCACAATCTAATACATGTCACCATTAGAGATATTTTTGTGATATTTAGCTTAATTTAAATTCATTTATTTTCATCCAGTGCTCCCAGCAACACTCCTTCATTCCACTTTAACCAATTCCAGATCTTTTAAGTACTTGTAGACAGTTACATGTATCTGGGAAAATACATAGGGTCAGGCTTTTGGTACAAAAGTAATATCACTTGATTGAGCTTCCTATTAAAACCCCATAATAAAAGAGATCTATGGGAAAATATTCTCACTATCGATGGGACAATATTTGCTAACACTATCAAAAGATCCATGGGGGTATGCTGCAAACATGAGAGATGCAATGAAACAGAAACTATAGAACTTTTTTAAAGTTCTGTTTAAACGTGTGAGAAAGAATGGGAGCTTATGGTAATATACTAAGAATGGGGGAGTAAACACTTTTAAGTTACAATTTTCACTTCAGACATGAGGTACAAAGCACTAGTTTAAGTCATGCATTTGCCACTGGACATGCAATTAGTTAGAAGTGTCTATTACAACTCCACCCATTCCCTAGCTGTTTTTCGGGGTGGTGGTGGTGGTGGGGGGGGGATGTGCAGGTTTTCTAAATTATACAAATTAAATTATCCTAAAGGACTATTCTTGCCCAGTGATCTTAGCTGCAAAGAAACATTTAATATTTTGTATCACTGAAAAGATTAATCTAATAATTATTATTTGATTTACATGGAGCTGGTTGAACACTGAAAAAAAGTGTTTGCAAATATTTTATTCAAAATATTTACTGAGGGGGTGGCTGGGTGGGAGTATGTGTGGATTTGGCTAGTTCTAAGCTAGGGACAGGCACGAACAAATATTTGTCAAATAACTCATTTAAAAAAATTGTGATATTTGTCAAAGACAGTCAACTAATATGATTTGATCAAGTAATATGAATTTATACTATGCCTTTCATTTGAAGATCTCAAAGAACTCAGAAAACATTAATAAATCCCACAACAACTCTTAGAAGTAGAGAAGTATTTCATGTGTGTAAACTGATAGAAATCATGTGGTTAGTCAATGGCAGAACTAGGAAGAGAACCCAGGAGTTCTGACACCCGGTTCTGTATTCTAAGCCCAGACCACGTTGCCTAAGAGAGACAAAACACTCATCACACTGGCACTAATAAGAGACAGTTGCCTAATTTCAGACACATCTAAACTTTTCTGAACTGTGTCTTAATCTTATTAATCCATTCATGAGCAAGAAATCTCTCCCAAAGAGAAATCGACAGCTTTATTCAAGTTGCAGAAGCACAGTTAAATTAGAGATGGGTTCAGAGCTTGGTTTAGACATATTTCACACTGACCATCTAACCATTGTCAAAGACACATTTTGGTCACTACCGATATGTATTCAACAAAATCAACTTTTTCTGTGCACTATGTATTCATTTCTAGATAGTGCACAGAGTTATAACAACTGTTCATCTACTTTTAAAACAAATACGTGTTGAATATAATGCTGCCTTTGAAAACTGACCCTCATGCTCATCATCATTATTGCTCAGAATTAAAGAACAAGTAGAAATGATATCTGGTCAAGAATACGGCCTGATTTACATTGGGAAAATAGCCCTTAAAATTCTAACTGGTTTTAAAATTGATTCTACTACCTCATTTTAAAATTAGCTGGAGTTGTAGTATAAACCAGGCTCCAGATGGCCCAAACTGCTGCTATTAAACCAATCTCAATACCAACTGAAAGTGGTTATGTAAGTGGATGTAACAACTCGAAAACATATTCCCTTCATGTACATGCCTGTTCTGCTGATCATGCAAAAAGCATGTAAGCAGAAAAAGTGACACTTTGTCTTATTTGCTACTATCTACTCCTTAAAATGCAACATCAGGAGGTTCAGATATTAACCACCATGCACACGACTGCTGACATTGTCACTAAATATGATTTCAGTTTTTAGAGATTTTTTTAAATTTACCTCAATATTATATCTTACTATGTTACCAACTATGCAATCAAAGACACTGTAGAGGCAACTGCAAAGTCATGCAACTCTTCAGAATTTTTACAAAAAGCTCTCACTATAGCTAACATCAGTGAAGCTGGTAGCAATGTTGGGAACCCTACTGTGGACAGGTTGTTGGCCCCAGCAGCCACTTCCAGCAGCTTGCCTATTAAACTTGCTCAGAGCTAGTCCTGTTGATAATTGAGTTTAAAATGGCTCTGGCTGTTGGAGACAAGTCTATACTATTCATATACTCTTCACATGATTTCAGTGCTTTAAGTCTACACCATGGTATGGTGATTAAAAAATGGAACAGCCCATTGTGGCAATGTACAAATTGACAACGAGTTAGACTATTTCATACAAGTATTGAAAAGGAAAAGGAAAGTGGGCTAACGATGACTGCCCTTAAAATTACACTGAATTACCATCAAATCCGCAACAAATGCGCATTTCATGTTTAACAAAGCTTTTTAACCACCAGGTCATGGGCCGTTCAGGATATATTGCTCTAGGTGGACACACTGTTCTCATTGTTCCGTAGTACTGCAGTGGCACAACGTGGATTTTCCACCAGAAACTTTATCAAACAAGCCCACACACATATAGGCATCAAAGCAAACCCCAAGACTAGTTGCATGCAGACCCCTCTGTTTATTCTCTATTGGCATGAAGGAAGGGACTGGGAACAAAACATATTTGTGGACACAGTCACAATGAGCACTCGACCGCCACAGCAGGCAGCACTAATGGAGGACTAAGTTAATGCTATTCTGTAAGGTTAAATCTATATTTCACCCCAAATTGACACTATCCACAATACTGTTTAGTACTAAAATTATTACAACATTCTCAGCTCTGACTCACAGTCTGAGACTGGTGGTGGCAGTGACATTTTAATGTACATTAAAGCAAGGACACATATAAGACCAAGTAAGAGGAGAACCACATCATATTTGCACAAAACAGAACAAGCAGAAAGTTGACAAATGGTTTTAGACTCTCATAGCAGCA